AAAGTCTCACACCACCCTTCATCAAGGTCAAGTCTCAATCGCGCACCACCCTTCATCATTTCAAGTCTCAGAATTCTATTTGTCCGTAACACGGAAGTATTGCTTCCCAACTTCCTTTGATAATCATTTAGCTTTCATCTTGATTCCTTAGAATGCCACATTCTTCGGAACAAATTTCCTTACAAGTAGTACCCGGGCAAGCCGGGAGCGGAAGTTTCAAAATTGAAACGCTTATAGCCTATAGAGCGGAGCAAAGACTGGGTCTATAGGATGCGAGCAAGCATTGAGCATTGCAGCAACAAGCTCCCGACTTGTCAATCTGATGCCATGTCTTTTGAATGTTGAATCTTTTCTCATTTCATCTGATCTCATCGCATCGCAGCTATTGCTCATTGCATCCCATTGTCACCGCAGTCTGTGTCATCCCATCTCATCTCATCTCATCTCAATCCATCTCATGTCTTCTCTCCCTTGCTCAGCTCTTCTCAGCTGATCACAACTGTTCTCTTCTCTTATCATGGCACATGAGCTTTTCTCATCTCTTCTCATCTCTTCTCATCTCATCTCAGCTTTTCTCAAACTTTCACAGCTCTTCTCAACTCGCCTCGGCTCTCCGCAGCTCATGTTAGCTCATCTTATGTCTTATCATCTCTTCTCTCCCCTTCTCACATCTTCTAAATTCTTCTCACACCTCCTCAGCTGATCTCAGCTCTTGACTTGTCAGCTCGTCTCGCCTCATCTCAGCTCTTCTCTGGCCTAAAGCCTGCTCCAAAAAAAGGATCTCGGCGCCAAAGTAATAGTAAGCGACCCCCGCGCTTTCCACAGAGAAGATCTGACACAGAAAAGCTTTTACACACAGCAAGCTTTTGCAAAGAGAAGCTTGTACACACAGAAGCTTTTACACAGAGACAGGGAAGCTTTCACACAGAGACAGGGAAGCTTTTACTCACAGCAAGCTTTTGCGCAGAGCAAGCGGGCCTTTACACAGAAACCTTTTACATAGACATAGAGAAGCTTTTACACGCAGCGAGCTTTTACACACAGAGGCTTTTGCACACAGAAGTTTTTACACAGAGAAGCTTTTACATAAAGAAGCCTTTACGCAGCGGAGCTTTTACACACAGCAAGCTTTTACACGCAGCAAGCGTTCACACAAAAGAAGCCACTACACAGAAAGTTTGTGCACAGAGAAGCTTTTCGCACACAGGAAGCTTTTCCACACAGAAGCTTTACAGAGAGAAGATTTTACACACAGAAGCTTGTACACAGAGAAGCCTTTACACATAGAAGCTTTTACACACAGAAGCTTTTATATACACACAGCAAGCTTTCACACAGAGAAGCCCTTACACAGAGACACAAGCCTTTTCGCACAATGGTGCCCGAAATTGCAGCTCGAAAACCGGATGGATCTCGGCGCCAAAGCCACAGACAAGACGATTTCAAGCACTTTTTAAAAGGAATTTTACGAGGAAAATCATCAGCGCCAAAACTGAGAAAATCTGCTGACAAATCACTATCGCAGCCGGTCGCAACCTTGATGCTGCCACTCCGATACGATCTACGATGTCCAGCTGCAAAAAGACAAAAGTATTACGCACGCAGCCGCGGTGCAAAGCAACCTTGACGCAGCCATTACAGTGCGATCTGTAGAGACTGAGTTGCAAAACACAAAAGAACTATGCGCAACGGCGTCAGAGATTGCAGCGCCAAAACCGGATCTCGGCGCCAGAGCCAAAAAAGACGATTTTGAAGCACTTTTCAAAGGAATTTTACGAGGAAAATCATCAGCGCCAAAATTGAGAAAATCTGCTGACAAATCACTATCGCAGCCGGTCGCAACCTTGATGCTGCCACTCCGATACGATCTACGATGTCCAACTGCAAAAGACAAAAGTATTACGCGCACAGCCGCGGCACCAAGCAACCTTGACGCAGCCATTACAGTGCGATCTGCAGAGACTGAGTTGCAAAGCGCAAAAGAACTATGCACAACGACATCAGAAATTGAAGCTCCAAAACCGGATCTCGGTGTTTAAGGAAAAAACGATTTGAAGCACTTTTTAAAAGGAATTTGACGAGGAAGATTATCAGCGCCAAAATTGAGAAAATCTGCTGACAAATCACTATCGCAACCTTGACGCAGCCACACTCCAATATGATTTGCGATGTCCAACTGCAAAAGACAAAAGTATTACGCACGCAGCCACGGTGCAAAGCAACCTTGACGCAGCCATTTTACAGTGCGATCTGTAGAGACTGAGTTGCAAAACACAAGAACTATGCGCAACGGCGTCAGAAATTGCAGCGTCAAAACCGGATCTCGGTCGGCGCCAGAGCAAAAAAAGAGGATTTTGAAGCGCTTTTCAAAGGGAATTTTAAAATGATAATCATCACGCCAAAATTGAGAAAATCTGCTGACAAACCACTATCGCAACCGATCGCAACCTTGATGCGGCCACCCCGATACGATTTACGATGTCCAGACTGTCCAGTTGCAAAGGACAATAATAGTATTACGCACGCAGCCACGGTGCAAAGCAACCTTGACGCAGCCATTTTACAGTGCGATCTGTAGAGACTGAGTTGCAAAACACAAAAGAACTATGCGCAACGGCGTCAGAGATTGCAGCGCCAAAACTGGATCTCGGCGCCAGGGCAAAAAAAAAGACGGTTTTGAAGCACTTTTCAAAAGGCCGGGATTTTAAAAATAAAAAATCACGCCAAAATTGAGAAAATCTGCTGACAAATCACTATCGCAAGCTTGACGCAGCCACACTCCAATATGATTTGCGATGTCCAACTGCAAAAGACAAAAGTATTACGCACACAGCCGCGGCACCAAGCAACCTTGACGCAGCCATTACAGTGCGATCTGCAGAGACTGAGTTGCAAAGCACAAAAGAACTATATGCACAACGAAGGAATTTCACGAGGAAAATCATCAGCGCCAAAATTGAGAAAATCTGCTGACAAATCACTATCGCAAGCCGATCGCGACCTTGATGCTGCCACTCCGAGCCGATTTACGATGTCCAGCTGCAAAAAGACAATACTATTACGCACGCAGCCGCGTTACCAAGGAACCTTGACGCGGCCATTTTACAGTGCGATCTGTAGAGACTGAGCTGCGAAGCACAAAAGAACTGCGCGCGCAACAGCGACTCGGAGCCAGCCTGAACTGTCAGTTCCACTGCTGGACCGATCCAACCATGATCTCGGTAGAAATCCGGTACAGCCGAGCGTGTTCTGAAACCATCGTGCGGCAAACTTTCCCGCCATCCATCTTCCGAGACACGTTTTGTCCTGCAAAACGCAGCATTTCGTGCATCTGCTACCTCTCAAAAGCGAATTTCGTGCCAGACTTCCCTCAAAATCTGAAAAATGTGAAAACTCAGCTTTCGTGCCAGACTTCCCTCAAAAAGTGAAAGTTAAAGATGTGAAAGCGAAGCTTTCGTGCCAAATTCCCTCAAAACGTGACAGCTGTTGACATCCCTTTGCTGTGACACACCATTGCTTTGGCATCCCTTTGCTTTGACATCCCCCTGAATTGACATCCCTTTGCTGTGACATCCCATTGCTTTGACATCCCATTGCCTTGGCATTCCTTTTCTTTGACATCCCATTGCTTTGACATCCCTTTGCTTTGACATCCCTGTGCTTTGACATCCCTGTGCTTTGTCATCCATTTGCTTTGGTATCCCTTTGCTTTGACATCCCTTTGCTGTGACACCCCATTGCTTTGACATCCCTTTGCTGTGACATCCCTTTGTTTTGACATCCCTTTGCTTTGACATCCCGTTGCTTTGGCATTCATTTGCTGTGAAATCCCTTTGCTTTGACATCCCTTCGCTGTGACATCCCTTTGCTTTGACATCCCATTGCTGTGACACCCCTTTGCTTTGACATCCCATTGCTTTGACATTCCTATGCTTTGACATCCCTTTGCTTTTGCATTCCATTGCTTTGACATCCCTTTGCTTTGACATCTCATTGCTTTGACATCCCATTGCTGTGGCATCCCTTTGCTTTGATATCCCTTTGCTTTGACATCCCTTTGCTGTGACACCCCTATGCTTTAACATCCCTTTGCTGTGGCATCCCTTTGTTTTGACATCCCTTTGCTTTGACATCCCGTTGCTTTGGCATCCATTTGCTGTGAAATCCCTTTGCTTTGACATCCCTTCGCTGTGACACCCCTTTGCTTTGACATCCCATTGCTGTGACATCCCATTGCTGTGACATCGCATTGCTTTGACATAGTTTGCTTTGACATTCCATTGCTTTGACATCCCTATGCTTTGACATCCCTTTGCTTTTCCATTCCATTGCTTTGACATCCCTTTGCTTTGACATCTCATTGCTTTGACATCCATTCGCTTTGGTATCCCTTTGCTTTGACATCCTTTTGCTGTGACATCCCTTTGCTGTGGCAAGATCCGTAACACGGAAGTTAGACTTTCAAACTTCCTTTGGCTAAAACCGAATGAAAAACAGCACTCAAACAATGTTCCAAGAGGGTAGCCCATGAGGAACCCTGATCTTCAATAGTATGTTTGCCGTGGGGGTCTTCTATTGTGTCCAGCTTTTTTCTGAGCTGAACATTTTCATATATCCCTTTATTAATTCCTTTCTTTGGCAAAGCTATTGCAACTTAATGAGCTACTTAGCTTTAATCTTGAATCCGTGAAAAACAAATTGAAATCAATTGAACATCAAGTGAAGTAAATTGAAATGGATCGAAATCTTTACTTAAGATCATGATCCCTTACTATTCAGACCCCAGCCCCTCAAAATTTACACTTTAAACGGACCCCTTCAAATGTTTGGGTGGGTCCCCCTACACTAATCAAGATCCGGTGAACGGAGTTTTAGGCAGCTCTAACTGTTTTCACCACAGGCTTGAGCCACGTGTAACAAGTGAAACAACATGATCCTATCCATGTACGGCTAACATGCGCTAGAAGTCCTATGACAAGCTTCACATCGAATCACCCCTCCTAGGCCAGGTGGCGTTCACCCATTGGCCTCACACGAGCTGTTTAGCTCCACTAGCCTTCTCAGTTGAAAACTTGAGGTGCATCGATCTCAAGTGCTTGTCGAGTGCAGCTTCTGGTAGTGGTTTCGTGCAGATGTCGCTGTAATTGCTGTACGTGGAGACTTTCTCGAGTGCAAACGATTTTCTTTGGATCTTCTCCGGGGCCCATAGATAGCGGGTCTCTATGTGTCTTGTTGATCCCAAGCCTTGTCTCTGCGATGTACCTCTCGCAGCAGATGAATCAGACTTGACTTTGAGACTAACAGTAAGTCCCCAGTCTGCCATCAAGGCTTGTATCGAGAGTGATACGGCTGCAGCCTTCACAATGGCGTAATACTCTGATTCTCCTGAACTCAGGCTAATCGTACTTTGGATGTTACTGGAATGTTTGATGTTGTGCGCTCCCAACATTGTGATCAGTCCAGTTGTTGACCTCCGCGTGATGAGGCATCCCGCGTGGTCGCTGTCACAATACGTGGTGAGCTCACGTTGGTACCTCTGCGGCCAATACTCGTAGACCAGCCGCGGTCTGCCACGTAGATACCTCACCAAACGCTTCAAGTCGTTGAAAGCGGCTTCGTTAGGTGTTTTCATGTGACGGGCCAGACACTTTGTTGCCTCAGCTATGTCTGGTCTGTCTTGTGCTAGAAATGCCGCTCTCATGGTGAGCGATCTATACTTCTTCTGCATTCCTTCATCTAAAGGTGGCAGTTCCAACGTTTTCATCACCTCGCTGTGTTTCTTCTTCTCTCCTGGTGTTTTCGCTGGTTTAGCGTTTTCCAGATGCAATTCCTTGATCAGCGCTTCGGCGTGGCGCGGATCTGCTTCGTATGTGACCAGTCCAGTGTCTGGGTGATACTTCACCAAACGATTCAAGACGGACATCGTTTGTTTCTCTTGCCCTGGACCTATATGTCCATCACGCTTGAATTCGTATCTTTTCTTTAGGGCTTGGTCGACGAAAGCATGTCCTTCGTCATCCGCTAATACAAGGAAATCATCTCCGTGCACCAACAACCTTATGTCCCTTTCTTTGTGCGTGAAGATGCACGGCCAGGCTCGACCCACGGAAAACTCATTCGTCTCTAAGAGTTCCGTGTAGTCTCTCTGCCAAGTGGCAGATGCATCTCGAGTACCATACATGGTTTTGTTTAGAAGACCACATTCGCCAGGACTTTCATCGCCCTCTGGTAGGGTGACGAATATTCTGCGCGCAGCACGCCCATAGAAATGAGCTCTTGATATGTCGGTCAGCTTTAGTGACAACTTGCCACCTCTGCGCGAAACGCGCAAAGTGACCAGCAAACTGCAAAGCAGTTTCAAGGCTTCTAATGGCGGCATTGACGAGAATAAAGCGTACTCAGGGATGAGCACCGCTTGTCCTTGCGATTTGATTTCTCGTACAACGAGACGTGATCTGTAGTTTTCTCTTGTTGTGTCTCCCTTGTTTCGATCCACCCATTTCAGAGTGATTGGTGCTCTGCTGGTTTCGGCATAGCACATTGATGTAGGAACTTTCGAGTACACATTTTGTCTTTTGATCCATTCGAGCTCTGTTGCTCGCGCAACTGCGACCTTCTTCGGATCTAGCTCCACTCCAGTGTTGGCATCCAACACTGGTTCCTTTACGTACATCTCAGTCGCGCTTGGCAGCATCTCATGTTGGTATTCCTCGTAGTTTGTTTCCTCATGTGGATCTGGTCCACCCACATGACCTATCTCTCTCATTTGACCATCAAGCACAAGTTGAGCTCGGACTCCTCTTGCGATAGCATACACAAGCTTGGGCGGATAGTTGGTAGGCACTTGAACTCTCCCCTCCTCAAACGTGAGGGTCCGCTTCCAAGTTTTGGTGTCGTTGCTTTTGCAGATTACTTTGAGAGCCCTTGCCACTGTTACTGAATTTGTGATCCATCGCGTGCGTTTCCTGATCTTTGATCCCGCAAGTCTTCCTCCGGACTCGTCAACCGTCCACACACACATTGGTCCATCCACAACCAACGTGTCTTCGTGCAGGTCGGAATATTGACTTGTCCCGAAATCCTTTGTGCCTCTAGGACACTCTTGCAGGAAATATCTCCCTTCATGGACCTGATGCCTGTAGGCATCGATGCAGGCTCGCATGCTCTTTCGTTTATCTGCTATCTGTTTTCTTGCCTCGTCTCTTGAAACCTTCTGTAATTCGTTTTGTTGTCGTTGAAGTTCGACGAATGCCCCGCTGGATGGTAACCCTGTGAGTAATAGAGGCTTACTCTTCTCCAGCGTCTGGAACATCGTCTCGAACTCCTTGTCTGTCCGAAGTTTCCAACCCTTTTCTTCCATGCTCAGCCACAGGCCATCATTCAAGACGGACTCGCCCTTGTGGTCCACACCTAGTGAAGCAACCAGGTTGAACAGGCTTTCTGCCTCGTGTCTTGAACACTTCATGCCGTGGTCATGGAAGATCTTTTCGATGAGCCCAATGCCAGGCTCTTCCTCCCCAGCGATTTGGGCATCGCCTTGGGCAGGTTCTTCCTGCATTGGCTCTGGCACAGGATTTGCCCCTCCTGAGCCACTGGATCCTCCTCTCTGGAAGATGACCAGAGGTTCGTCCATGGATCCAGGATCGGGTACTTCAGACCTGTAAAGATCCTCAAGATCTTCACCTCTTCTTTTCTGTCCTCGTCGGCCTCCTTCTGGGGCCATCTCTTCCGCTATTTCCATAGGCCTTGCCAATGGTGCTCCTGCAGCTTCTGATGCTGCAACTTCCGGCACATCGGGCGGCGGCCGGCCTTCCAAGGCCGGTCTCTTGGCCTTTCTTTCATGATCTGTTTCTACTCGCTCTTTGGCCTTCTGAACTCTTGCTTTGCCTTCGTCTGTTTCCATCAATTTTCTTTGAATGCGAAGTCGGCATTCTTCATTGTGAGATCTTGCTGCTGATCCTTCGATCTGTGCGATACACCCAGGACAACATGGCGTGTATCCGAACTTTGCAATGTCGGACTTGAGAACATAGAGATGTCTTGGTTTAAAGTCCTTCTCTTCACCCTTTGGCTGTTCTCCAACTAGAGCGGGCATATCCACTCGATTTGGTGGAGCTCGCTCGACCGGATTGGACATCTTCCCCGGCAATCCTCTGAGTGCACCAAATCCTTCGGTTGACCAACGGTCGATTTCTGCTCGCCGGTGTAGAGAATGTCCTTTTACAACTCCGGTGGGAGTCATCACCAAAAGATCGGCGTTTCGACTCGCCGTTCCTATATAGCGGCCCAAGGCCACTCTTGCTTCGAGGGGTGAAGCTCGTTTTCGTCCTTCGGCCCCAAGTGGCTTGAACAAGATTTGCTCCCCGAAGACGACGGTGGGCCTTCTCCACTCGCGGCCCAATGCTCGCCGATAAGCACTTTTCCCATCTTCGCCTATTCTAAACCTCGTCAGGAGAAATGCTGAGTGCCTCGCTACCCAAGATAGCATATGGTGATCGGCATCCAGCTTGTCCCAACTTGCTTTCCAGCTCCGAAAGAATAGCGCGTATCATTCTTTTCACTTCTCGCACGGCGCTTTCCGCTGTTCCATTGGATGGTGCATTTTCGTGTCCTGCTGAAGTAGGAGTTTCTTGCAAAGTCAGTTCAAGGTCTCTCATAGCCTCGACAACGGCCTGTTTCAGAGCTTTCATTGCTGGTTCGTTGTCTGAGAACAAGATCATCTTCTTCCATCCAGCTTCTCTTACTATACTGCAAAGCCAGCTCACGTTGAATGCATGTGTTCCTTTTTGAGGCAGTGCTGTTGCCCATGTTCGCCTTGCCTTATCACATCGTACCACCAAATGTGGCATCACACCTTCTCCTTCCGCATCTGCAGACGAAAGATAGAAGTGATCCATGTGCAGAGTGGGTAACCCATCTCCACTGGCTCGCTCTACTTGCATGTGGGGTTGCACAGCTTTTCGAGCCCTCATGCAATGAATACACCACGACCTGTGTGTTACATGGCCACTAGCTTCGTGTTCAGCTATCTCAGCTGCGGTGGGCTGCGACGGCGCTCTCGGCACCAACACCCTCTTTTGTTCCTCGCCGGGCGGCTCCTCAGGTTGTTCGATCCCTTCTTCTTCCAGGGATGGTGAAACCTGAGCCCGGCGCTGGTGAAACTACCTGCGCGGGTCGCTGTTCTGCAGACCTCGCTTCTGGTGAAACTTCCTCTACTGGTGAGACATACTGTCCCTTTGGTCTTACGCCCCCGTGGGCTGCCCCTTGGGGACCTTCATATCGAAACAGTACACTCCCCGGCGTACCGTCAGCTTTGCTGCATTGCTCATGTCTCCCTTATATTTCCTGACCAACTTTCCCGTGAACGCTGTCAGTTCGCGTCCCATTTCTCCATTCCGTGGAATCAGCAATCCACCATGCTCCGTCAGCACCGCGTGCTGGGTCTTGCACACTTCTGTCCCCGACGCCAGAATGCGGTGGACCGGCGCGAGACGTCCTGTCAGCTCTGTATCTGCTCCATTCCTGAGTCTTCCCTTTAAAGTGCATGGGCCAGCATCCTTGATTGCGTCTCCGGATGCTGTTCGGTATTTGGCTTCAGAGCCAACTTCGTTTCCTGTCCCATACTCCAATGGGATCACTGTGACTGCAGCTCCTGTGTCAAAGTTGACTTCGACTTTTCCTCCCTCAGATGAAACATCCGAGGTGGAAGCCACGGAGCACACTGCAGCCATTGCAGGTCCTCCACCTGGACCTTCAGGGTGGTCTTTCCACCAATCCTTTCCCTTATCCTCAGGATCCCTATCCGGGTCCTGCCATTTTCCCCAGGTGGGGTCATCTGACTCTTCGTCCTCTTCTTGCCAGGATCGCTGGCGTTTCTTCACATTGGACTTCCACTTGCCCTTTCCCGCAAGTCTCTTACGTCGTGCGGCCCGTTTTCTGTTTGCTTCCTTACGAGCCTCTTCTGAGCGGTTTGCCTTCTTTGCATAGACCGCAGGAACCACAGATGGCTTCAGTTCTGTCGGTCCCTCTTCTCTGTAGTAGGTCTTTTCCTTCCGGGTCAGCGGTCGCAGATACACCTTGTTGCTTGCAGGCGCAACTTCATTACCTCTTTTGTCTATCACCACGGTCGGGAGATCCGGTTCAGCCTCCCGTTGGCTGTCTTGGCGATCCTCCGGTTGCTCTGGGCCTCCTCCCCAGAAGTGTTTTGTCCAAGATTCTGTCATCTTGAAATGAACCTTGGCCCTGTCCTGTACTCCCTGTTTCCTGTGGATCGCAGACCTTCTCCTCGCCTTTTCAGCCTTCCATGCCTTTGCATGTGGCACTCCCTTTGCTACTGCAGCTCTGTAGCGCGCATCATGGTGCGCCTGGTTTAGTCGGTCGAAAGCGGCCTTTGGCGCCGATTTCCCTCGACCACGCGCCCGAAGCTCTTCCGCTTCCCTGTCAAGTCTTTCCAGCTCTTCTTGTAGAGCCTCGACTTCCATGTGCTCATCCTCCGTCAGGAAGTCATTCTCTGAGCGTTCTTTCAACGCATCGAGCCTTGCTCTAGCTAACTCCCTATTTCTCCGGTTGGTCGTAGCCAACGATCCAACCAACAAGTTGTGCATGGCACTAGACGAACTCATCGTCGTACCCGCGTCTCCCTTGGCCACGACAGGTGAAACACCCGTCTGGCCTGCGACGCTGAAGGATCCCATGCTGGCACCCTTCGCACTACTGGGACCTTCAACAGCCCCTTGCGAGCTATCCGCAGGCTCCTCTCTCACTACGACTTCTTCGCAGCTTCCTTCCTCATCTTCGACCTCAATGGTCTCATCGACTTCCTCGTCGACTTCAGGTGCTTCACTTTCACCTTTCTCGGAACCTTCTGGCTCCACAGACTCACCGCCTTCACTCGGTTCGGCTTCGTTTCTCCTGGGTTCTTCAGCAAACCTTCTCGCTTCAACACATGGCGTGCCAATCCCGAAGGACCAACCTTCGGTACGGCACGTTCCTCTTTGCCCTTGCTGCTTTCGCAGCGATGTAAGCTCTTGCTGCTTTTGTGCTGATCTTTCTCCGCACCGTGCACGTTGAACATGGGGCGCCCTGCTTTCTCAAGATGAATTGTCCCATACTTCCTCTGGGCAAATGCTTCTTGATCTTCCGTTGGTGATCAACACGATCACGGAACCTCATGCGGCCCCATTCGCTCCTTGTCTTCAACATTGCCATGACTGCCAACTTCTTCGCAGGCATTGGTCTTGGCTTTGCTCCTTGCTTGGACTTCGACACCTTGGGTGGCGGTCCCACGACTGATTCCTTCTTTGGTGGAACCTTGGGTTCAGGTGGTCGCTTTGATCCATCTCGCACTGTCGCCTTCTTAGGTGGCGGTCCCATCGGCTCTGGGGGCTTTAAGGGTCTTTGTGCCTTGCCACTGCCACTGGGCCCCGTCGAGGACGAAGCGTCCTGACTGGCCCTTGGCCTCGGTGGCGGCGGCAACTTTGGAAACGGCATTCCTGCTGGCAAGTGTGACCGTGCTTTAGCTCTTGCCTGCAGCGCGGCTAACCCTGTTTGGAGAGTTTGTTCCAGCACAGCTGCATCGGCATCGTTCAAGTTGTTCACGTCGAAGGGAATGCTAAATGCGCCAACTGTCGGCACAGCTTTTGCTCCTGCAGTCGATGTCTTCGACGCGGTTGCCTTTGCCTTTGGCTTGGCCTTTGAACTGTCCTTGCTTTTGGGCGTCTCTGGTTCTTCGACCTCGAGACCTCCCAACAGCAAGCCATTGCTTTCTTGCCATTCACCTTCTTGAGCCCATTCGGCTTCCCAGTTGCCGTCCTCATTCCATTCCTGTTCCCATTCTCCTGTATTGGGATTGTTCTGAGCTCCCTCTTCAGGCTCCACATTGTTGACTCCTTTGCCCTTTCCTTTGTTGCCGGGCCCTTTGCCCTTGGCTCCTTTTCCCTTTTGGCCTTTGGACTTACCACCTTTACTGCTTCCCTTTGTTCCTTTGGACTTTCCTTTGCCTTGCGTGTTGTTCCCTGGACCTTTACCGGCAGTACCCTTTGCTACTGAGCCTTTGTTGCTCTTGGCCCAGCAGTCCGCTGCTTTGTGCCCTGTCTTCCCACAGTGGTGGCATGCACCAAGGAACTTGGTGGTCTTGCCCTTGGAACCAGATCCCTTGTACCCAACAGATGAAACATCCATCGGGTCACCAAGAGGATTCTGGTTTGCCAAGGCACTGGCGGCTGACACTAACTTCAGGCTCTTGCCAGTCTTGTGCTCCACAAAGCGCGTAATCTCCTCCATGAGATCGTCGAAGGTTCCAAACCTTGATTGGTTAAGCTGGACATGCGCCTCCAAGTCAGGTGGAAGCATGGCTTCTAGGGCGGCCATCTTTATCTCGTCAGAGATGGTCGTTCTTGACCCCGTGCCATCTTTTCTCTTTTCGTAGGTTCTCACTGCGTCAAGCCACTCTTGGATAGCTTGGGGCAACGTTTCCAGCTTTTGTTTCTGTGGGTTGATGACTGCTTTTAACATGGTACGCTTTCTGGAAGCTGTAGCTGGGTCGTACCTCCTGGACAGTCTCCTCCAGGCTTCCAACCCGCTTGTACCACAGTTCACCACAATGGCGAACGGTTCCTTCAGCGTAACCATTTGTAACGCAGAAGCCAGTTCCCTGCTTTTCTCCTCCAAACCATTCACTTGGTCGAGTGCATCAGCCAGGTCTCCCAAAGCTCGTCTCAGCTCTTCCCCCGTGATGCTCTTTTCCCTTTCTTCGCACCATTCCAGCACTTCTCTCAGGTCAGGGTAGACTCAGCAGATGTAACTTGTCATCCGGTGCCTCCAAGGTAAGAATTGTTCAGCCTCACCTGAGAACGTGCTCGGTTTGCCGAGCCCCTTTGTGTCCACCAGACACAACCGATCCTTTCCTTTCGAGTCCTTCATGGCTTCGACCAACTCCTTGTTTTGGTCTTGCAAGACACTCCGTAGCGTTTGTCCATCCCCGACCCCAACTGGTTCAGGAGTAGGGGGGGTGGATCCTACATTTCTGATAATGTATGAACATAAGGGGGGGGTTAACCCCCTCACTTTTTGCCAAAAATGTATGGGAACTAGGGGGGGGTAACCCCTCAAAATGAGGCATGTATGAGTGCCAGATGCTGGAAATGTATTATTGGTAGGGGTATTGAACCTGAAAATGTATGCTTTGTGGGGGGTACCACTGACAAGAGCCAATGGATACATAAACTTTTCTAAATGTATGCAAGCATGGGGGGGTCTGCACCTCAATCCAATTGATCTTTTTTTCCTGGGAAACCTACTGAAACCCATGGGCCATAAAATGGCTGAAATATCCCCTTTGAATTAAGTGAGAGTGTTGGTGTTGACAATTTTATAATGATAATCCGGGAGGCCCTGACCCTCTTTCTGAAAATGCATCTATAGAATCAGAGACCCCAAGGTATTTTCAAGTTGACAATCTCTATAGAATCGATGCCGCCAAGTCACTCTCGTAGATGGTTGGGGGGGTTAGTTGGCCTTCTATAATATCAGGTTCCCCAAGTCTCCTTCATTGACAGCTGACCTGAATGCTCCAGTTACTCTTGCCTAGCTTGCCTTATGCACTCCCAAATTTATAGAGTTCAAAGGCTCCAAGTGTTCACTGTCAACCCCTTCAATTTCAAAGATCTTGAAAGTCGCTCTGTTTCATTTTGTTTCATGTTGTATCCATCTGTTTCCATCCGTTTGCTCTTTTTTAGCGGAAAGGCGGAAAGGCTGGCTCGAGGACTTCGACCCAAAAACGGTGAGACACACTGGGGAGACACAACGGGGAGAAAGAAAGGGGAGACACAACGGGGAGACACAATGGAAAAATGATGCAAAATGAAAAATGTCACTTTTATAGTTTGTAAAAAAGAAAAAACTGCTTTTGTGAGATATTGAAATGTCAAAATTGTACATATTTGCTGAATATAACTGATGATAACTGATGAAACCCTGATGATAGATCTCCAACAAATCTCCAATATATCCCAAAAGTATCCAAAAGTTTCCAAAAATATGTCAAGATTCCAAATGATTCCAAAATATACAAGGATTGATCAAGGATGATGAAGGATGATGAAAGAATTGTTGTGGGAAATTGGTTCTGCCAATGCTTCTCTATAAAATTGAAGAACATGACTTGACATACATCCAAAGATTCCAAAGAGAACGTATCCCACTGTAGAATCGCAGTCCCTAAGACTCTCTGCTGACTAGTCCTCAGTGCTGTATTCAACATGAAATCTCTATAGAATTAGAGGCCCCAAGGTCCTCTATAAAATTGAAACCGTTGACACTAAGCGTTGACACTGGGTAGGTACCCCTTATTAAGTCAGGGGGTTAGAATGCACCATTTTCCAGGAAGTAACGTTCCCGATTCTGTAGAGGAAATTCCAAGGGGGATGCTGAAATATACTTGATCTTAAATATTCTGAAATGTATGCATTGCAGGGGGTACCAATGACTACCTTAGCCAGATCTATTCCCTCCATTTTCCAAAAATGATGTGCTTTTCGGCTACCCAACCCCCTTAAAATACATTTTTCAAAGAAGGGTATTCCCAGAAAAAAATTAAGCATTCCCGGGGATCCTGGAAAAACCAAACCCGTAAAATGTATTAAACCACCCCCCCAAAATAAAAGATCCTGGGGGGGGTTGGATATCCCGACCCATGGATCCTACATTTAACGTACCCCCACCGGTCAAATAATGTATTTAGGGGGGGTCCTGGGGAATCAAATTCTTGGAGAACGGTAAATGTATTTTTTTTCCCCAACCTCTCCCCCCCTAAAATACATTTTTAGGGGTGGGTGATGTTTGTCCCATCTCTTGGATGGCTGTGGGGACCATCTGCAGGTTCCCATGTGTTGCCATGGCGGCCTGTGTTGCACCCTGGCCAGTTCCTGTTGCTGCTCTTGCCTTTGTGTCGCCATTTCTTGTCTCAAGGCTACCATCTCTTGCACCAAGGCTTGCACTTGAGCCTCTGGCGTTGCCATTGTTCCTTTCTCCTAGTCCCCCTCAGGTGAAACACCCGAGTGGACTCAGTCCTCTTTTGGGTACTCCCGAGCCAGCCTTTGCCTGAAGCGCTGGCTCAGGTCCAGTTGGCTTAGGTGAACCCCCAGGTTGTGCCACAACCTTTGCAACCGACGAACACGCTCGAGTTTCCTCACCAAGCGTTCCCAACGGTTCAGCCTTTCCACTGTAGCTCTCCTTTGACAGCAGCGACGCAAGCACATGTAATTGCCCTCACACCGAGAGCTCCGCTACCATGAACGGAGTTTTAGGCAGCTCTAACTGTTTTCACCACAGGCTTGAGCCACGTGTAACAAGTGAAACAACATGATCCTATCCATGTACAGCTAACATGCGCTAGAAGTCCTATGACAAGCTTCACATCGAATCATCCGGCATTTATGGCTCATAAACATTTTGGGTTGGCTTAGCCCCTCATCCGAAAAGGCCAGACACCACCAACATATTTTTTGATGAGGGGTGTATGCTTAACCAATGCATTTTGATGATTCTCTCATTTCGACCATCGCCGTCTGCAAGTTTCTGCCTGTGAAACCCACAAGTGCCAAAACCAACTCAACTTCCGGATTTGGGCATCTATTATCGTATATAAATTTCACTTTTGCATTCAGTTAGATTTGACCTCTCTGATATTTAGGCAGGTATTTAATGATGTTAGGTTCAGGGACCGCAAGACATAAAAAAACATGTTTGCGGGGACATGATTCAGAACAGAGCCCCCGGACCCCTGAGAATCCCCTATTCTCTGCCGGAAGCATGGTTGGCCACCCGGCTCAAAAACACATGGTGTTTTTTTTAAAGTGGGTGTACGCTACGGGTGTGGGGGTCAGGGGCCTTATGAGACAATATGCTAAGTAGTTGGTTTTTGTGAAATGCATTATTTTATAAACATCCCTCGAACGTCCAATCCAGGTTGAAGAGAGTAGGGTCGGAAGCTGGTTAGAAGGATGTTTTATGGCATGTACTGTCCATATTTCAGATAACTACACAGGAACCAGCACCAAGGCTTTCCACGTTCCAACATCGGTTTGAACATGAAACCAATACTTGAAAATTTAGAATAGCCAGAGAACCTTACATGAAATGATTTGTCTGCTTCAACCACGTAGCAGCCTTTGAAGTCTTGGTGCGTTTTTACTGTATTGAGCTGATGGCATGACCATGTAAACTGGCTGTATACGCGTCAACGTCGGGGATTTCAAAAGCCACAGGAAGGCGCATCCCAAAAATAATTTTTGTCGAACACCGCGTTGTGAGGGCTGGCAGCATTTCCGGCATTTTCTTCCATTTTCTGCCTTTACTCTTCCAGACCAGCAGTCGGTGGGCCTTCCAATATATATCATTAAAAGCCCCCTTTGAATTAAGTAAAAAGGGTCGGCGTCATTCTTTAGTGGCCCGGTGATGGGCTGGAAGTGGGACATCTATAGAATGGAACTCCATCTCTATAGAGTGGAGGGCTTGGACCAACAAATCATAACAAACCTCTATAGAATGGAACCCCATCTTTATAGAATGGGACCTCCGGGGGTCTTACAAACAGAGACATGTCTATAAAATGGAGGAACCGATGATTGGCTTGAAACGTGCTTAATTTCTGTTTTTCCCAGTCTATTGTCTATAAAATGGTACACAGAGAAGTTGTAAAATTATGTGAAAATATTGTTTGTGTTGTGGGCCCTGGGAAAACCATTCTTTAGAGTTTGGGCTCGTTCAACAACACCAACCAGTGCCTATAGGTTCCATTCTATTTCAGTGTTCAAACGTGTTTCCGCAGGTTTCTCTATAAAATGGAGGGCCTCAGCACATACCCCTTGATGTCATTGAACCAGTGAGCTCTATAAAATGGAGGACTTCAGTGATGTCATCGAACCAGTGAGCTCTAAAAAATGGAATTTCTTTTTTTGGGGAAAACACAACTGGTGTCTAAAGAATGGGAAATTGAACCGCAAAACCGAAATCTCTAAAGAATCGCGGGGCCCAGTCACCATTTGTGAATGTGTGAAGATGTAGATCTGCAGATGTGAAGGTGTGAAGATGTAGATCTGCAGCTGTGAGGGTGTGAAGATGTAGAGCTGCAAATGTGAGGGTGTCAAGATGTAGATCTGCAGATGTGAAAGTGTGAAGATGTAGATCTGCAGATGTGAAGGTGTGAAGATCTAGATCTGCAGGTGTGAGGGTGTGAAGATGTAGATCTGCAAGTGTGAGGGTGTGAAGATGCAGATCAGCAGATGTGAGGGTGTGAAGATGTAGATCAGCAGGTGTGAGGGTGTGAAGATGTAGATCAGCAGATGTGAGGGTGTGAAGATGTAGATCAGCAGGTGTGAGGGTGTGAAGATGTAGATCAGCAGATGTGAGGGTGTGAAGATGTAGATCAGCAGATGTGAAGGTGTGAAGATGTCAGTTGCTTTTTTACGAAGAACCCTTCGCAGGCGCTCTCGGGAATGGCAAAAAATAGTTCAAGAATGTTCAAGGCATTTCTAAACCCGGCAACTTCCTGCGCATCACGCAGTGCTTGACCTTGCAAGCAACGCCTCCGGTCAGCAAAACTGCAAAGCAGGAAACTTCTTGGAGAAATTCTTGCTGACTCAGATGGGTAAGCTTCCAGCTTCAGCTCCATTTCAGTAGCATCCCTCACAGAGACCTGCTGAAGGTAGACAGATACGGTGGACATGATCGCAACAGCCGGGACCCTAATCCATTTCCAGGAGAGGCTGCTTCAGGCAGGGTCGATGACAGCTATAGTTCATGCTGCGCACCTTGAGCTGTGGCACGTTGTCAATGGATTTGGCAGCATGGACCTCGGGAAAACGAAAACAAGGGAACTTACGGGAAACGATTGCGAATGGCTGCGCTTTGCAAGGACTCTGTGGGGCTTATCTGAACACATCTGCAAGCACAGAGGGTGATCCGGTGAACTCCGCACCTCCAAATCTGCGGCTTTGCCCTCAGTCGGCTTCGCTGCATTCTGGTGCCAATTCCACCTCCCAGGCGCTTGAACGACAACAACCAAAAAAGATAACAAAGCAAGCGGACAGAATAGCCCGAAGGAATCCTGAGCAAACACACATTAAGACACCCTGCACTTCAGTTTCGAACCTCTCGTAAGATTTCATGCACCCAAAAGAAGCCAAAATTTGGGGCCGGTCTAAACTTGAAAAATTGGAGACATAGTCCAAAGTCCAACACAAATTTTTAGATGGACCGTTTCCTACACGTTTCCCCCGCATGCGTCCTTGATCATTGTCACCTTTTATTACCCCTGATATCCCCTTGAACACCTATCTTGATGACCCTTGACCACCACCCTTGGCCATTCAAGGGCCGCTTACAGGTTCTTAGCCGAAATCAGGAAACAAGGCCCAAGACACAGATTCACGAACTGTGGTTTTCTGGGTCGCTACAGAATTGTGCCAGAAAACGGACTCATGCGGCACAGGAAAAAGGAGCAAGATCAAAAACATTCCAAAATGATGCAACGACATGACAAATGCGGCGAGTCCCTAGGGTGCTGTTTAATTGCGAAAGAAGAAGGGGTGGCTTAATTGCGAAAATACATGTTACTAACGCCGTACTTAAGTCACATCAGGCAGGGAAAAGTCACTCAGGTAGTGGAAAGTCACCTCAGGAAAGAAGAAACACCATGGCACAGCCTGTTTCATCTGTAACTGGAGATTTAGTTAAAAGTAGCCGTTGCATTGCGCACAGCGATGATTTTGAAGGGCACAAGTCAATACAAACAAATTCTTGGCAGCAAATCCTATTGGCATGGATGTATTGTATCGGCGTCCTGCATCGCGTGACCAAATCAAACCCCTGTTGGTGCAGCCTCAAATTTCTTGCAATGCACATGGGTTAGCTGTAGCAAATCTTATTGGCAGGGCTATGATATAGGATGATACAGGGATATGGTGGCCCCTTGTTTTCCGCAACCAAATCTATGGCTTGTGCGATGTGCATCAAGGTGGTGGACAGCCCTCAAGAAGTTTGCTGTCCCATCCACCCAGCGGTTACGAGTTGGAGGAAAACCTTCCATTCCACTGCGGGCAGAAAGCGTGGCTGGTTTTGTCGGTGCTCCGTCTGCGCCGTCTGTTCAGTCTGCGCCGTCTTGCGCTGTCTTGCGCCGTCTTGCGGGCAAGCAAGCCGCAGGCAAGCAAGCCGCAGGCAAGCAAGCCAGCAGCAGGCAAGAAGCAACAGCAGCAAGCAAGCAGCAAGCGAGCAGCAAGCAAGCAGCAAGCAAGCAGCAAGCAAGCAGCGAGCAAGCAGCAGGCAAGAAGCAGCAAGCAGCAGCAGCAGCAGCAGCAAGCAGCAGCAGCAGCAGCAAGCAGCAGCAGCAAGCAGCAGCAAGCAAGCAGCAGCAACCAGCGTATGCCCCCTTGAAAGAATGATCAATTATCAGTAATTATTCAAAAATCAGCGCCATACAAAACTTCAACTTTTTCCAGGCGCACGGCTCGAAAACAATGAAATGTTACACTTGTTGAAAGTTGTGGTGGTGCCAAACTTGAACTTTTTCCAGGCGCACGGCCTCCCGATACGATTTTTAACGAGCTGATACGACTTAACTCTAGCGCTAGTAATAGCATGTTTTTTTGTCTTCTTCGCAGATTTATATAATATGTATGTGTGATACCCGTTGGAATTCCTCTGCTAACATGGACTCCTGCATTCTTTAGACAAAAAACGGCGGCCCACCTTGCACTACTGAAATGGCACATCTAAAGAATGCCAACCCAGGGATATCCAGGGATCAAGGGGGTCTAAGACCATCTAAAAAATCATGGCCCAGGCAACCAACTACAAAAAGATACAAAAAATAAAAAAATAGAAATACAATAGCAGAACTCTAAAAAATAGGGAGTCCATGTTAGCCATGTGGATGTCAACCACTATAAAACTGTCCTTGTTAGAAAATGCATGAAAGTTGTTGTCATGGTTGCAACCTGTTGATTCATCTGTGATGCAAACAGTGGCCGGCGCAGAACAGCAGTTTTAGCAAATTGCAAAAATTCAATCAGCTTGTCTATTCCCTCTCAAAATGCCCTTTCTAAAAAATCCTGACCCAGGAAGCCTTTGCAAAAAATGGGGAGTCCGGGTTCGCCATGTGGATTGCAACCACTTTTTAGCAAAAAAAACGTTTTTTGCGACAACCCGGGTTGTCCCATTCTTTAGTGGAAATTCCAACGGGGATTATGTGTGTATGTATATAAATATCTAGATATAAAAAAATGTGTTTTCATTAGTGGAGGTGGAGCGGAGTGGAATGGAGTGGAATGGAGTGGAGCGGAATGGAATGGAGTGGATTGGAATGAAGCGGATTGGGAATCTGTTTTTGGAAGTCTATTTGGAGCTCCACCGAGCCCGGCGTGGAGCCCGGCGTGGAGATGGATAATTAGAAGAGAATGTGGAAGCCTGCTCTATATACTATATACTGTATATGCGCAATATAACTATATATGGACTCTGGTGTGGCGAGAGACAGTGCAACACCCCGTCACATCTAACCTGCCAAACTTGCACTAGCAACTCTGAGACCTTGCAGCGCTCAAAGCCGTGCATCTCCATTTCCCCTTGCATTGAACCTCAGGCAAATATGGGAAGGCCACGCCAGCGCATTCATTGTAAACATGTGCCAACCGTGAAGGCTCAAAAACTCATGATTGCAGCGTGAGGCACAAAGGTTGTTCCCTGATCGTTGTGAGCAACGCAGAAGGGAACAGGTTCAAATCCCTGCGGGGGTTGAAAAAGGCAAAGGCTCACAGAAGGAATATCGAAATGAAGAACTGCAATTGGCATGGCTGCGCCAGAAACTAATTGCGCTGACAATCCAAGGTCAGGAGCCGACCAGGTGCCACCATGACTACATCCGAGACAAAACCATCTACAAATCGCCGAAAGCTTCATGCGCTGCTTGTACATACACTGCATATCATGCGAAGGTGCTGCTGAGGCGACGCAAGAATCACAACACTTTGCAGCCTTACAGCATCTTACAGCCATTTATTTATAGCTGTCTGGGTCGTGGAAATGGGCGGCCTCAATCATCAAGGATCCTTTCGTCATAGGCCCACGCGCTGCCTTTCACAAACTCTGTTCGCACTTTCCCGCACCGAGAAGGTCAAACTTTTGCATACTTGTGGCACATTCTGGGCTGGTAACGGAAAGCGCCAAGTATGTAGCCATCGACCTCAGCAGTTTGGGCCGCTGTGGGGCCTGGAGCAACAAACGCCAGTGGGGCGACAGTGCAGTTCATATACTCTTCTTGGCTCGAACGCAACGTTCGCCGATGCCAGATGTCACAGTATGGGCACACAAGCGTTCCAAGGGACAAACGGTTTACCAGCAGCGCACACTTGTGGTAGTCCATTGCCCTGGCTGTTACATCTGCTGCAAAAAACATCACAACATCTGAAGGCCACAGTCCAGGATCCAATCACGAAACGCATGCCTCAACCTTTGCTCCGATCACCTGCATCATTTGTTTGGCTAAAATGCTTGGAAATACTTGCGGGCACAGTAGTTAGTCCATGGTTGGCCCTGTGGTAATGCTGATATGTAGCAGCACGCGGGCCTGAAGCCGCACTGATACATCCACCTTTCCCTCAACCGCCACTTTCAGAACTGGTGGGCAAGATGGTTCAAATACCTTGGATCACCGCATGTACACCCTCGCACCCACACAGAGAAGGGAGAGGGGGAGAGGGAGAGAGGGGGTGAGGTAGCTATCCCCTTTTCGGGAGCCCTGGAACCTAATCTAAACACCTGTGACAAGTGAGAGCGACGGCACTCTTTTTCTACGCGGCGGATTGCTGCTAATCTTGAGCCATGCGGAGTGCGCATGAAAGATAATGAATTAAGTGTACATGTCAACATGCATGAAAGCATTGTGTAGACACGTAAAACAAAATAAGTAACAAACAGACACAAATTTTCTTCGTGTCGGAACATGCAAGTCTGTTTCACAGGAAGCGCTCAGCCTGTGATCTGCTGTGAGACGGTCCGAAGACAAAAACAAAACTGTACAAAAAGCTACTCTCTGCTGTCGGCAAGCGGCCGTAAATGCGGCACATAGGCAGTTGTAAGGACTCACAGTCCCATAGAGAATGTATAGCCATAAAAGCTCATTTCATTTCTTCTTCTCAATTCTCCAGATTGGTGGAAAAAATCGATTGATCAGGAGTCTGTGGAATCAGATCCAACCAAGAGCCATCATACTTTTGAACCCATCTTTGCCTAGGAATGGTGTATCCTGGCACATATTCAACATCAGAGGTGCGTGGGTTCGTTCTGTAATAAGCTGGTTGATCATAGCCATAACCGTATCCACGGTATCCGGATGAACTGGAGGATGCTCCTTGATCTAAACACTGCGTGCCCGTCATACGGGATGGTGGTGCAGGTGGCTCTGGCACATTGATTGGTCGCTTTCTTGTGGTTTGTCTCTGTTCTGCTGTCTGCGACCCTTCTCGCCATGGTGGTCGAGCCTTAGGTGGATCTGGAGGAGTGCTTGGAAGTCGTGTTGAACCGGAAGACCGACCAGGTGGTGGAACCGGTGGTGCCTTAACAGGCGGTGGAACAGTTGATGTGGATGTTGGTGTTGGTGCTTGCTTGAGAGAAACCGGAGCTGCCTTGTAGCGAACTGGCTTGGGAGTTGCAGTTGGACCCTGTGGTGGAGTTACCGAAGCTCTTGCAGGCGCAGGAGGTGGCCTTGGTACATCTGCCTTTGGTTTATTACTCCTGGCTCTGCTGACAGATCTTGATCTGGTTTGTCCAACTCTTCTGAAAGAATCTGTCCGCAAAGGCGGAACGCTGTCTTTTCTCTCTTCTCGCTTGTCGAGATATCCTTGATTTCGCTGCATCCATTTCTCACGTCTTTTCTCTTCTGACTCTCTGGTTCGGATGTGCATATTTTTCAAGGCTTTTAACTGGGCAAAGGTAAGGAGAGGTGAGTGCCATGCACAGTCTTTCTCTGCCAAACCAACATCGTATGGTAACAAATGTTTTAACTGCTCAACATCATTCAATAAAATTTCGTCGGGAAAAGCTGATCCTGAGAATCCATCCGCAGAGGCGGAATCTTCTTTGGCACGTGCTTCCGTGACAGCGATCTGCTTACCGTAACAAAGAGAAATTAAAATCATTGAATCACAATCGGCATCTTCTCCTGACATGCTTCGGATGTAATCAGCTGCAGTGGTCGATGAAACTACGTTATACGTAATACGGTTGATCGGACTGCGATGAAGATTAATCTGCTGAAGAAAACGCTCAAGGATGTCAATCATGATGCACGTCCGGAAATCGGAATGGTCATCAGACTTAAAACTGCGCTGTGCAAAAAGGTTGCCATCACCAGACAAAAAATCACATTGGTGCTCAACACAACTGGCAACAAAGCTAAGCCACTTTTTGGCATGTTTCCTGATAGGCATGACTCCAGGCATATGCAGAGATGTGAAAAACTGCAACGCGGCATTCGGCCAACAAGAGACGGCGTACGTCATGTGTGTCAGCACCGGGATTCACGTCACAGACTTCAACACCTGAAACTGCAAGATCATCATCAATTTCACAAATTGAATGATCAAGAAAATCTAACGTGGTCGCCAGTGGACGGCGGCAGTGTTGATGAACCATAGATTCGACGTTCTTCTCGACATCCGGTTTCGGAATACGAACACCTGTGGAAGGATCAACGAAGTCACCGGAGGTATTTTGTCCATGACATAAACGAAAAATGGCACCATGGAGAATCCAGAATGGGCTCGTCTTATTTCCGGTTTCGATCTGATGGTGTCCGAGAAGCTCAATAAATGTGCCGACATCGTGATCACCGCGGATGAAAATAGCCACGGATTGCGATTGGATGGCAGGGTGAACTACCATGCCGATCATTCCATATTCCTTGGCAATTTCGCGATGAACGGCAATTCCTCCGTATTCGTCGGAAGCCTCACATAAACAAACAATATGGGCCGCATTGCGGAATACCAAGTGTGGCAAAACTTGATGATTAATATCAGTTCTAACCCATTTTGGAAATTTTGAGCAACCTCCGATATACGGAGCACGGTTGACCAAGATTCAAAGTCAAAATGCCAAGCTGATATGTGTCTCTCTGGAATTCATGGATGTTATCCTTAGTGCGCTTGACAACACCTTGGACTGCTCTTTTGCCGAGAAGACACGATCGGAAGAGTTCCAATAAACGGAGAATTTCTTCGGTACCTAGGTCAGGGCCGTCAGGGTACTTAAAATAAGCTTCTGGTCTCATAATCGGAAGCGGCGTCTGATCCTGGGCGTCAATGTAGTGTTCCTGAAGAGTTGGAATTCGAATTCCATCTGGCATAGAGTAAATAAAACCAGTGTAATCGAACTGCTCGATACCGTGCCTTGCATAGCTCTGCAGGTAGGTATTGCCCAGGGATCGGCCTTCACGCAAATGCGTGATAAGGTCTTGAAAATTCTCCTGACGGGTCTGTGCATGTTCACTTCGAGTGGCTCCGAAATACGAAGAGTCAGCAAGGACAGCGTCAACCAGCACTCCGATATCGAAAGGCGACTGGGTTGAGCTGATGCTATCTGGCAAAAATTCAGAGGACAATTCTGAAGAATAATTAACAATATTATGTTTGCAAGCTAAGCCGCAGGTGCGGCATTCCAAGCAGTAGGCAAAGCCACAAGGGTGGCACCAGAACATGGCCTCTGCGCAATTGCATTCGGCAAAGTTCTTGCAGCACTGTGGACCGGCTGGTCTGGGAAACCACTGAATTTCTTCTGTTTCCTTTTTGAACTTTGTGAAAAACCTTTGTGCTGCGTCCGCATCGCGGAACAACTCCTTTGCCTGTGTGTTCATCTCACGGCGAGCTCTGGGCTTAACAACCTGCCTACGGCTGCCCCATGGAGAATCGGCTTGCAAGTTAACCGCAGAGGCGGTATTTGTTGAACCGGATGCTTCCTCAGAACTGGCCGCAGCAGCGGCACTTTTCTGCTTCCTTGGCATAGGCTTGGATTGAATTTTTCTTTTTGGAGCTTCGCTCTCTGAGGCTGAGGTGACCTCATGGTTCTTCACTTTTTCCAGGTGCTTTTTGAATCTTTTGGAGATTTCATCTCTGAGAGCGTTCACCTTCTTATCTTCCTCGGTCTCTGGTGGACCTCTTTCCTGGTCATTGGGAGTTACGACGGTACGCAAAGGCCTGGAAGGACCAGGTGCGGTTGATCGAAAGCTTTCAAGAAACTTCGTCACTACTGGGATCTTTTCGATCTGTTCTCCTACGTAGTCCACATATTCGGAACGTGTCCAGGAGATACCGTCTTTTTCATTTTCATTTCTTTTCTCCCAATAAAGTTGGTGGTGACAAACATGCATTGCAAGATCAATATCAGAGGTATAGTCGTTCATTCGGTGCAACTCAGCCGGTTCCGGTGTATCAAGCCAGGCACGATCAATGAAAGACCAAACGCCACAGAACCGGGTAAACGGTACAGTCTGATCAGTGAGAACATAACGATTATGGGTGATCACTGGACCAAGGCCAGCTACTGCACCGGGTCGTGCAATTAAAATACAATCTGATTCGGCACGTAAAACATCTTTCATCGTACTGAGTGTTGAATCAAGGGCAAAATGAACGTGATTCCTGCCACCGCGAGTACCACCAGGAAGCAAACCGAGTCTTCGGATGGAGTCAAGATTCTTCTCGTTTGTCCCGTGGATAAGGTACCTCAGTGAAAACATATCAGGCATAAATGGACAATGTCGAATCTCAACATCAGTGGAATGACCACTCTCAAAACGGATAAAAATGCTTGCAATGTCAACACCTTCAAGGATACTGGCCTGAGCTTCAGCTCCTTTATCACCAAGGCACAGCCAGAAAAATACGGTCTTTGTATCGTGAAGGCATGACATCTCTTCAAATTTATGATGAAGATGAAATTTCAATGCGCCTTAGAAGCAGGGATAACACCATCAGGTTTTTGATGCCTTTGGCCCATGTTATTTGTGATTCAAATAAAGCAAGGGCAATGATTGGCTTCTTGAGCACTGATGATTTTCAACCTGGCATCACTCCGATTCCGGATAATTGGTTCATGACTGCCGATTTTGGCGATGATACCGCTCGTCATGCAGGGACAGTGATCCGTCACGATGCAGCAGATTCGTGTGTCGAAATATGTATGACATGTGACGGGATGCCATTTCAAAATAATGATCCGCTAATGCAGAATCGTGGTCCTCCTTGGTCTTGATTCCGGATTGTTTCCGAAGGACTTGTGCAACGCACTGAGAAAAAAATGAAACTATTGAGCTGTACACAATCAAGAGGAGCGTGAAATGCATCATCAATGGCCCGACTACGATTTTCGTAATTTCTGGGATCACGCGGCTGTCTTCTGTCAGGACGTTCTTGGCGACCGCCACGCGGTGCATGCTGAGGTCTTTGATCACGAGGGCTGCGATAGCCACGCGGCGTAAAGTCCGCAGAAGCGGAATGATCAGTTCGGCTGTGCTTGGAAAATTTTGGAGGCATAAAAGGTCAGTCACTTCTTTCCGGCTGTGACTTTTCCAAAAAAAGGGGATCTTCGAGGTGTCTCCAGAATTGGCTTAAGGGTTTCTGTGAACAGTGCCAAGGGACGTTCTTG